TTGTTGGAATATTTTACATAATATGACAAAAATGTAAAATATAAAAATGTTTCTTCAGTTAATCTATTCATTGTTTAGTCTAAAAAATGGCATGATGTCCTAAAATCACCTTTATTTTTTGACCAACAGTCCATAGCCCCAAATAATTTCCTGTCGACCAGCAAATCAACTAATTAAATATGTTTGCTCAATGGTAAATATGTAATTGATGTGCGTGCTCATATTTCTATTGAAAATAATAGAGCATTGAAGTAAGAAGCTCTATGCTTTTGTAATGAGAACACACTGTGTTGTACCACCATTAACATGCTGTATCAGTACTACATGGGTGACATGAATCACGGCGGTCCAGAGTTCTTTTGTTCAAAATCAGATCAGGCTCTTCCAGTTTTGGAAGATTAAAGACTCAGAGATCTGCGTATGGCAACACGTGCATCGACACAGAAATACGACTGTTTAGCAAAGGGTCATAGCCGACATTTTCTGGAGGAGTCATCGTGAGTCACGACACAACTCTCCCAGGGCCATCGTTGTCTACTACTTGGATTCTCCCCTAAAATATCAAGCACCTTGAACACAAAGCACGCTCAGCTGTACTTAAGACTAACATCTTCATCTACATCAGCTGACTACATTTGGGGGAAACATAACAATCTTTATCATTAACGGCTCACACAGTGAAGCTCATCATTTCTAAGTTTAATTGACAATATCATTTGAGTTTTAATCTTCACAATTATCTAAAGCCACTCGGGCACATCTCGGTAGCCTCACCAATTATTTTCATACTAATGTTACGGAACAAATGTCACTACATTCACTCAATCAAAAATAAAACTATTGTCCCAGAAAATGATAATTTGCTCATTCCAGAAATAGTCCCATCATGTCATCCAAATCCATTAATTACAGCCATACTGTACTTTTAAATGGCCCCATTAGCACAGCTGAAGCAAAGTTACAACTCTATATAAGAGGGAAATCCACACTTAAGGAGTATAACTGAGTGCATTCGATGACCTCTAATAATTCTAATCACCCAGTAATTACAAACAGAGTGAAGCACCTTCCCTCTGCTTTTCCTTTAATGTCATTTACAGGAACTGGCAACCAGAAAATGCAGAGCACAGTACAAAGTGTCAAGCTGAGGGAATCCAGACTAGTTGGCAGGCATAAAGACAGAGTTTTCCCTCTGTGTGCTGCACTCTGAGGATTAAAGCTGGCACCGTGCTCACGTCTGTTAAACAAGATATAGCCATAACACCTTGATATTTCATGTTGCACTAAGCCAGTTAGGGAAGGCTGCAGCAGTGATGGATCTCATCTCTGCATATTTTCTCACATATACTTTTTTTCCCCTGTATTTTAACATGTTGACTGTTTGTGCTGCAAAAAAAGTACTCTCGCTATTCAAGTGTTTTTGATGTAGTGGCTAAAAGCATAAGATGTACCTCTTACTGTACTGGCTCCACATCACATATTCTCAAGGGAAGAATTGGGGAAAACAGGAAGTGGATTTCTCCAATTATTCAAAATAGCTGCCTGTAAATCATGTAATTGACTTAAACACATCCCGCAGACATTTCACTCGACAGTTATGATAATGGTTAATGCCTGATTAAATTGCAAGTGATTAACATTAAACAAAGAAACATAATAAAAGCATGGAAGTAAAACATTGATACACATATTTTGCCAGTGGTATTTAGAGATTAAAGGGATTTTAATGGTAGCAATGAGGCCTTTTAGTATTCAAGCTGTCCTGGTGAACACAGTAAGTTACTGTATTATTATGAGGCTGATATGAGGGAAACTTTCATGTCAAGCGTATCTTGACTGGTCAGGAAACAACTGCAGTTAAATATGACATTAAGCATAACATATTGTGTGGCAAATAAAAAACCACATACAAAACAAGAAGCCCTTTCATTCCCATTTGAATGTGTAAAGTTAATGTATCATATGAAACCATCTTGCTCTATATGCTAAGAGAAAAAAACTGAAATATAAAATCCATTGTGCTTTTAATTTATTCCCATTATCAATAACAGCCCCCAGGAGCATTATTGTTGCTTTTAACTGGGTAATTTAAAGGGGGAGAGAATAATACATTCTACAGTAATTGGCAATATTGATTTTAATCTCATCGTAAGTCATTTTGAGTTCAGTATGCCAAGGTAAAATAAAGCTCTAATTGAGCTCTGCATCAAGCATGAGACTGATGAAAATAACAGTGTTCAGATTTGTTGCTGTAGCTTCTTGCATTTACTCAAGAAATGTACCTAAACAAACATTAAGGTCCTTATTTCATGCTGCAATTCAGAAGGAATATAATTGGCTACATTTACTCCTTAGATCAATATTTTACAAGATAAGAATGTACTTCCGGAAACACCTACAATCCCAAACCCCTCCCCCATGTTTTTCTTTATTTCTATTATCACCACTTTATAGTTGAGTTCATTTTTTACAATTTAATTTTTTTTTAAATTGTTTTAAACGTATAAGTTTCAGGTTAAATACATCAAGCGGTGAAAATAAAAACTTGTGATGAAAATATCTGCAATCATTTTTCAAAAATACATTTAAAATATTTTACAAACAAAACATATGATAAATTAAAACATATATTGTGCCCGTAAATATTAAGCTACCTAATGGTATATAAAAGTAGCTCCATTTGAACAACAGCCAAATGCTATTTACACATAAATGCATCAGTAGTAATAATGCCATGATTATAAAAGGTTATAGAGAACAATATACATTTTCTTTTCATACTTTAGAAACATTTTGCTGATAAAACTGTTTTATTGTGCAGTATTTCAATGAATTGTATTGATGATTTCCTCACGCTTCTTGGACTTCAATGCATGTAACATTGTGTAACATGAGCTCTAATGTAATACGTTAATCATGCAATTTGTTATTTAAGACAGTCCTTAGCTGTATAGTGGATAGCCAGCTTTTTCAGTGTTTCTATTCTCCACTTACTAAAAAGTCATTTTTGGAAGCCTTTTCTTGGATTAACTCTTTTCTGAAGAACACAGCTGCAACATTTTCAGTTGTTATATACTACTGGATATGGTATAAATCAACACATTGGTCGGACTTTCTAAAACGTCTTCTGATCATTTCATAAACATCCATGCACAATCTATACCTATTTCTAAGCCATGTTTTTATGGGAAGCAGGTTTGTTTCTTTCCAAGAGTATAATAAGAGAGAGAAATGCTGTGTATTTTAAATGAAAAGAGGACAGTAGCGCATGGTCATGATACTAACTGAAGTGATGGGGCATTTCCTTGCTGCCACACAGAATCTGCTGCTCATCTCTATCTCGGTACTGGAGTGCACAGGGGTCGACTTCCCCTTCTCTCAAATCGCTACAGCTTCCTCCTCCAATCCACAGGGAGTACAATAATGTTCTTTTGGGAGGATGCAGGGGTAACATGTTGGAAGGGGTATCGTGTGACAGAGATGTCACTGTCATGTTATTTCACATTCAGAAAATGTTAATTAAATGTATATGCAAGGCTGTAAAAGGCCAACATCAGTATTGCTACATGGAAATGAAGGAAGAATGTATGGAGAGCAAATAGAGGTAGATGTGCGTCTCCTGGCAGCTTACCAAAAAGAAAATCTGAATAAATGCATGGCATCCATATGTCACGTAGAAAGCAAGCCTTTTTCACTAGCACTAAGCTCTTTCTGTGGGCAATATCCCAACTCCATCACAATGACTTTACATACAGGGAGGATATGAGCCATTGGCTGTGGCTCATATTTGAGCCACCGCTGCTGTGGCGTTGACAAATGCTCCACCCAGAAACCAATGTGGCATATTTCAAAGGCATCCAGCACAATGGAGCGGTTTTTCATCATGGTGAATAATGCCCGGTGCTGACTGTTCTCCAGGTTAACCTCCCGAGTGCTGGGGAGTGTTTCGTTTGATATATTGACTTCAAAAATGATGAGATAATCACTAAATCAGGGGATATAAGTATCGAGGTGCTGTCAAAGCAATTGTAAGCACAATCTGTTGTAAGGGAGGTACAATGCTCTCAGAGCTAAAGCACCATGTGTTACAGCACCTTCGTGGATTAATGATATCCTGAGTTCCAAATAATTTTACGATTGTGCAAGTATTGATCAACCTTAAATGGTTATTATAGAAATGTGGTTTTATGTTCTTTTGGCAACTACCAAGTTAAGGAAAAAATGTTAATCAAACTATTATTTTTCTTAAATATGTCTTATTAAAATAAGAACCATTGTTACATTCAGCAAATGTTCGATGTATTTTAAATAATTCTGCTATGTTTTGTATGTGAGCCTGCATGCCAAATTACAACACTGTTAATTACAAATCCCTACAAAAGTCAACATGCATTGCAATTCTCCACATTTGTAAAATATGTTAATTCTTAATGAATCTCAAGACTTTGCCAATAACATAATTATAGAGTCTGCATGTTCCTCCATTATTTGAACCGCTCCTTCAGGATTTAATAGAAGAAAATCTCTGCACCGCCCATACATCATGTTTCTGCTGAAATGATTTGAGAACCAAATACTAAGAGACACTATGATATAAAATTGGTAAGCATCGCTTTTTAAGGATACAATTGTATTTGATTTGAAACTAATAAGCAGGCGTAGACGGACTTCAAATGAGACGCTTATTGAGTCAATTAGATGCGCTGGTTGAATCCGCTTCACAGAAGCACGTTGGACAGAGAAGTTGCTCTCTTGTTGCTCACCACTTGGCCCTAACACTTGCAGAAAACAGAGGAAATCCAGAAAAAGATCCAGCACAAATTGTAACTGAAATTAAGCACAAAGATTCCACCGTCGTCTGTGCGTTATGGTGCCAAATGGTGCGTCCATGACCCCCAACACCCACACTAACCACGGCTGCCATTGGGTAAGATATGAGCCACATCAAGAACAAAGAAGGAAATCATTGCAATATTGGGAATGTAACGAACAATTCTTACCGCTATGCGAGTCTGTGAATATGCTTTAAGATGTAAGATAATTCTTTTTGCAGGAGGGGAAGGTCGTTTTGGACTTGCTGAGGTCCAAACTTGAATCCTGACGATGATAGTCTGGTCCACTTGTCGGGAGGAACCAGCAGGGTGCTTCACTGGTGTCTTTTTATCTCATAGCAATACTACGAGATGTGTTAGCATTCTTTGTCCATGCCAGCCTCAGTATTCTGTCTCCTAGTTGAGGTACGTCGATTGAACTATGTGGTCTGCTGCGTAAAACCGGTGCCAAAATTCCTGCGGGCCCATTCCGTTACAACGATGCTAAACAATAGTCTGGTCATGTTGGCATGGGCTCAGCCTACTCCAATGCCAAGAGCAGTTGCGTCGGCTAATTACAACCAGATCTTGAGAGCTAGTCTGTCCATATTATTGGCTCGGGAATTTGGTAAATGTCGCTCACATGTGCCAGTTGGCTCCGCTATTGTCTTTCGGGCGCCTCATCTTTTCTTCTTCGCAGGGGTAGTGGACAGTCGAATTGCCGATCTGTTGAACGCTGGAGGTCCACCTACATCCAGCGGGGTCTTGATGTCGTATTTATCGGGACCGAGCTTTCCGCCGTGAGGCACACACAGTCTGACACGGGCTAGATGGGGGTCTCGTTGAGTGACGGATCCTCTGACTGAAAGCTTGCCTGGCGAGGCGACCCGTCTTTGCAGGAGAGCAGTAAAGCAGGATGTTGCGCGTACACATCTTTGACAGTGCGCGCTCCCGTCAGGTCACACATATTGGGTCCACAAACATCTGCCTGCCAATAAAACAGGGGAATTAGGACAATTTGAATAAAACCTTCCCTTTGTGTTTGTAGCTTATATTGTACAATTTACATTCCTAGAGTGTGTTTGTTGAATCCATATGTGTTAGTCAGTGTATATTGATTCCTTTAATATTATAATCATATTTAAAACTAAATGAAAACATTTAGGATTACTATGTTTTTGTAATAATTAATTAACTAATTATTTTTCTCATTCCGATGTCATGTTTTGTTTGTGTTTTGTTTGTAATTACTTTCATTTTTAATAGGATTTTTCTCAGTTATCATGGTTATTGACTAACAATGGAACAAAAATATAAAAATATAATTCAATAAAATAGATAAAGATAGTCATCTTTATAGATAGTAACCCTTACAGTGCAGTAAAATAGAGGCGAAATGTAAAGCAGAAAAGACTCTTCTCTTTGCGGTGGATCGCAGAGCACCGCAGCACTGGGCCTCGAGTAGTCTTCCCATTATATGGAAAACAAAGCAACACAATTTCATGACCAACCACCATGGCCGCAAACCATATTCCAAGGAAATGACTGACGCACAAAGGATCCTTCAATGAATGATGTCGGCGCTTCCACACAGTCAAAAGGGCTTCTTGCTGAGAAATTAGGGGAAATTATTTTGATCATTCAAAGGTGCATTGCCATTTGTTACCAGCTCAATGCGTGATGGCCCACGTCTGGTGTCAATCTCCTAAGGCCTTGAGCAAGGGAACACAAGGCTCGTTTGGGAAATATAAACAGCTAGCTGCTTTGAGATTGCTGCTTGATTGTTAACTCACAAATGTCTCCACCCCCTTCTGAGACACCCGTACACATGCAGCCATACTCTGATATGAATTAGCTTCTGGGTCCTCTGATCTCTGTGATTAGAAAATGATTCAGTATTCAGTTGCCCCAGGGTTCAGGACTCACACAGTCATGTGCATGTGTTTTGTTTTTTTGAGAGTCTGCTCACAGCTCCGACCTTGCCGGACTCACATCTGCCCAGCAGGTCAGTGATGGCGCCCTCCTGTGTTTCTGCAGGATAAGCTACATTTGACAATTCAAGAGGAAGATGTCAGAACAAATATGATGACCGTTGGTAAATGGAGAAAGCTAAAATATAGTCAGGGCTATAGGTTTCGAATAGATTTAAATGGAAACATTTGTAAATACATTAAGAATCAAATATAAAGACCTTACTCTTGGTACAATATTGAAACCTTGAAACCTTGAAATATGCTATACTTTACTAATGGTTGCATTCAGCATAATAAATGAAAGCCAATATTTGCTGCTATACATTGAGAAATTATACTGCATGTGTTAAAACGGTGATATTAAGAGGCCAGTTCAGAAATCCATCCATGATACTAACACGCCCACATTCTCACTCTGAAAAAGCCCTTTACCTCGTGTCATTCACGACCTGCAGACATTTATTTGGAGTCATGACATTAATAGGAGGCTGACTCAACCTTCATCATCCTCATTCAGACCACATATCTATTAATGACTTGTATAACTTCCCACTGCTTAACTCGACTCTCCAAGCCTTGTTCTTTGGGCTGGATGTTCTGGAGGGAAAGGTCTGCTCGTGATGTTAGGAGAAAGAGACAAGTGTGATTGAGTCACAGACATGACGGAGCCAGAGAGGTGCGTAGGTGCAGAGAGACAGGGCAAGATAAAGAAGAGTTAGGAGCAAAGGACAGATTGACTGCAGGAAAAGGTGACTGATGAGGCGGCTGATAGCAGATGGAGGTGAAAAGGAAAAAGCAAAAGGCCTGAATTGCAGGAGGAAGGTGCCCCTGGCTGGCCCTACACCGAGGCCGAGCCTTGCTCCTTTCTATATTTAGCACAGGGACCACAGATTGTAACGAGCGCTCCGGGGCCTTGTGTTCAGACCGGCAAGGACTGCTGCCATCCGTCTCACCGCCCTGGGGTGAGGCACGATCCAGGCTCACACGAGCGCAGGGGACGAGTGACAGGACCATGTCGTTTGAGTGCACACTTACTAAACATGTGCACAGCAGAAGTGAGGATACAATATGAGTGAAGTGTCATCTTTGTGTTCAGCTCTTTCTAATGCTGCGTTTGTGTTTACAGCAATTCCTAAAACTCTTTATTTCTCCTTCCCCTAAGTATTTAAAAAGAGCACAGTATCCCCCCCGACTACCATGCCCAGGACTGAACATATAAAAAATCCCTTTTCTCTCTGGACAGGTTTGACATTCAGTCCAAATGTCAAAGCAGCTCAAGCCATTTTTGACTCTTCCTGTCCCCATTCTTACCTTCCCCATCACCTCCAGGACTGTTCTGGTGATGGTCAGCAGTGACTGATGAAGGGCTAAGCCGTTCAGACAGCAGTGTTCTGAAGGCGGGGCGATGCTGGCACGTCAATCCATCACGAAGTGCAGTACGACGCTGCTCTTTAGAGTGATTCTCCACTCAACACGATGCGCTTTAAAGATCAAATACTCATCACCTGTGGTTGTCAGTTTCATCTTTCACAGTAGCTGTGGTCAGCTTGAAATCATGTCAGTTAAAATGCATGGTGACAAGCAGAGAACCTCTCTTACTGCCCCTGCAGTGTAATCCACTTCTTCTCTGTCTGGTTTGGGGGGGAGGGGGGGGGAGACTTCTGTGGATGAAGTATCACTAAACAGTCAAGGCTCATTGTGATCATTGGTAATTCACTTTTTCATTTGGTGATTTTGAGCTACCAGTACAAACTCTGTAAACCATCCATGATGGACTTAGCAACTACAAACGTAATGACATTTCATAATAAAACATTTTACTGATACTTTCTCTTACGGCCCCTACACACGGCGGCGTGCGTTGTCGCTTGCCGGCGGAGGGGGCTGAAACTCGACCAACAACCAATCACATGCATCTCCCGCCCCAGACACACGGTTTGATTGGCTAGAGCTTGTACTGGCATATGATTCGATTGGCTGACGCATCCGTCGAGGCGTCAAAAGTAGAACATAGCCCTACTTCTGCAGCGAGCACCGCGAGAGAAGCTACGCTTTGCTCCCACAATGCAGTTCGGCGAATCATGACGTCACCCCATTCAAAGTGAATGGGCAGAAGCTTTGAGGCGGCAACGCACGCCGCCGTGTGAAGGGGCCGTAAGTGTGGAGGCAGGCGAGATCCAGGCTCAGCAACAGAGGACCTTATTTTAGTAGGGAATATGGCTTACACTTCATATTAATAATTGCCAATGAACTAAAATAACATCACTATAATACAAAATAAAAAAAGTGTGGTTTTCCTGACAGTCAGACATATTTCAGTTCTATGACAACTTTGTGTTTTACTTTACTACCAAATCATAAACAAAAATGCTTTCTTCTATAGTTTTTGAAGGTACAACGTATTACACTTTAGAACCCTGACCCAAAAGAGCAACCAGCCGATTCTCAGCCAACTAAGAGGTCAATACTGACATCTTTGACATGCTCGGCAATAATTCATTTTCTTTTGTTTGTACATGTTACTCTAACCTTTGGTTCTTCCCAGCCTGTCTCCAACAGCATATCCATCAGTCACCACCCACGCAGCGTCCCAAACAGAGACACCAGTCACTCACATCAGCAGAGCTCCAGTTGAGCTCACAGACAGATCATTGAGTCTACTAAACGAACTATTTCTATTTCAAATCCAAATCACACAAGCCATCAAACATGGCACCATTGTGACGATGTGGCTTCATGGTAGGAGTACAGAAGAATGACAATTCTTTCTTTGAATTACAAACACTTTTTATTTAGACATAGGCCAGATTAATGACATCCAACTTTTCTTGTAAAAAAGGCTTCCTGGTCATATTATTCTACAAAAACAATGATAATTTTTACATATGAAAAATAAAAATACAAGAAGAAAGATGAGACAAAAACAAATGCAGTGTTTTGACAGCTGCTTCCAAATAGAGCATTTATAAGACAGCAAAGGGCTGCTTATTCTTCATGGCTTCCATCAGTCCATGGTTTGATCCAGGTTAACTCCATTTGTTGAGGGGATTTTAAAAGGAAATGAGAGACAAGCTAATACAATAGCAATGGTATCTATGGAGATCCACTGAACCTATGAAAACTTATTTTATAGGTTCTGTGTTATTGTTGTCAGATTATCTCCCAAATATCCTAAAAGAATACATCTGTGGAGGGTCTCCTGGAGGTTGGGTTGTTGCAGTCTCACATGGGGTAGTTGAGCACCACGTCCTGTTTGGCCAGCTCCAACAACATAGGATCGTCGAAGAACTTACTGATACTCACATCCTCGCTAAGACCCTGCAGACCAACAAACAGGAGGTCAGTCATGCAAAAAGGAAAGGAAACTCTCCCACGCCTGTGAATGATGAACCGGTAGAGAAAAAGCTCACCTTGCGCCTTCGGGTTTTGATCATGAACTCTCTGGCCAGGTGAGGAGCAGGTTGGGGCTCAAGGGGCCGGATCACAATACTCTTGTCCAGGGGGTCGCCAGGGACGATCTGGAGGGAAATAAAAAAATCTAGTTAACCCAGAGAGAAGGAGCGAATGGCAGCTGGTTATGGCTCACAAATGGAACACATCAAATGTTGAGCTTTAACAAACTGAGTGGACACTTTTTAATAGAGGCTCCGACCTTTCACTAAATATCTGATTCAGTTGCAAGTCTGTCACATTGTTACCGAGTCAGGAGTGCGCCCATCAACGTCATGGAAGAAAAACAACGTGCAAGTGCGGTGACTGCTTCATTTTGTGACAACACTGTGCAATGTTAGCAGGTTGAATAAGAAAGATTCAAAGGATTTATTGTCATACACACGGTAGCTACTGTCGTTATGGCAATGAAAAACTAAGGTCCCAGGCTCCTTCAACAATGCAAAATGAATATATATAAG